GCAGCCCAGCAGAGCCTCAGGACCCTGCGAGGCCAGCGAGGGGCTGCTCGGGCTGCAAACCACCCCCAGCTTCCAAATTTGCCAAACCCATCGTGCCAGAGAATTGCCCAGTGCCTCCTGCAAGTGACCAATCCCGTGTCCTGGTTTTACTGGTGTCCTGGATGCCACCAGCTGGTCACCAGCAGAGGGTGTGTTCAGCTCGGCCTGCTCCGAGCACAGCACTCAGGGAACAAGCAGAACCGCTGGCAGGGGGTCTCGAGACCCCTTCGGGGCTCCTTCCCCCAGCACCAAGCACATGGCCCAGCCCGGTGCTAAATATCCCAGGTGCACAGCACTAGGAGAGAGCTGGAGAGGCAGCCAGGACAGGGCAGATCCTACCTTGACCTGGTTGAAGCTAATGGTGATGGAAGCAGCTGATGTGAACCCCTTAATGACAGGGCAGGAAATGAAATCCAGAAGGAATCCTGCAAGGGATGGGAGGCAGTGAGCACGCTCCTGACCCCAGAGGGACAGCAGGACAGTCCCAGTGTCCCGGAGAGCAGAGAGGAGGAAGGAACACCTAGAGGCTGTGCAGCAAGATCCTAAACACATCAGTGCGTGGCAAGAGCATCTCACCAAGGCGCAGGAGCCCCATGGCCAGCTGGATGCAGCCAGAGAGGAAGGCGAGCAGGACGGCATAGACGGGCTGGTGGAAGGCATAAGAGGAGACCAGCAGGGACATGATGGCCGTGGGACCCAGCGTCACGTCCTTGGCCGTGCCCAGGAGGCAGTACACGAAGCAGCCCATGAAGGAGGAATAGAGGCCGTACTGCAGGGGGACAGAAGGGGCACTAGCACAGCTCTGGGAGCCGGGAGAGGCCGGACACCTCCCGGACTGGGAGGGCTGGGCTGATCTCGGGTCACTCCAGGGCCCTTGGCACACGCATGGCATCCTGCCCGGGAAATGGGCGACTGCACGGCTCCAGCCCTCGGTCAAGCAGCCCAGCCCGGCCCTGCCCGCCACACTGCCGGGCTGCCCGGGAGCGGGATCACCCCGGCCGGAGGCAGCCCGGGGAGCGGCAGGTCCGCGGGTCCCGGCACCCACCTGCAGCGGCAGCCCGGCCAGCTCGGCGTAGGCCAGCGCCTGGGGCACGGCGGTCAGTCCCACGGCCAGCCCGGCCAGCAGGTCCAGCGGCAGCCACGCCCGGGAGTACCGCGGGAGCCAGCGCAGCACCGGCAGCGCCGGGCGCGGACACCGCGACCCCGGCATGGCCGAGAGCTCGCGGGGCCGCGGTCGGTACCGGGGCCGGAGCGGGGCGGAGCGGGACCCCGCGGGGCCGCGGTCGGTACCGGGGCCGGAGCGGGGCGGAGCGGGACCCCGCGGAGCCGCCGGTGCCAGCCCGGCACAGCCCGCGGCTCCGCCCGCGCCGGATCTGAGCGGCCGGGGCGCCTCATGTGACCGGGGTGAGGAGGAGCCGGGGCGGCCGGAGGAGCCGCCGAGCCCCGCTGCTGGTGCCGCTGTCGGTACCGGTGCCATGCGGCCCTGGGCACTGCTGCTGCTGCTGCTGGGCGTGCTCCGGCCCGGCGGAGCCGCGGCCCCGGCCCGCAATGTGCTGCTGCTCCTGGGTGAGTGCGGCCCGGCCCGGCCCCGGAGCCGGCCCGGCCCCCCCTGCCCGGGGCTCGGCGCTGGGGGCATCCCGCGGCTGGGAGGGAGAGACGGTCCCGGGCTCCGCTGCGTCCCCTCCGCAGCACCGCCCGGGTCACCCGCAGCCCGGGGATGCTCCCGGTGTCATCAGTGCCCCCTGGGCTGACCCCGCGCCCGGTCAGGGACACCCCCGGGCTGACCTCAGGGACACCCCGTGCTGACCCCGCGCCCGTCCCGCAGCCGATGACGGCGGCTTCGAGAGCGGCGCCTACAACAACTCAGCCATCCGCACGCCGAACCTGGACGCGCTGGCCCGGCGCAGTTTGGTCTTCCAGAACGCCTTCACCTCCGTGAGCAGCTGCTCCCCGAGCCGGGCCAGCATCCTGACCGGCTTACCCCAGGTAGGGGCACCTGTCTGCGCCGGGCCGGGGCTGCCAGCCCACAGCAGGAGTCACGGGCACGGCTGGACGTGTTCTGGAGCCGGGCTGGCAGCCCTGGTCTGACCGGGCCCTGTCCCCGCAGCACCAGAGCGGGATGTACGGGCTGCACCAGGACGTGCATCACTTCAACTCCTTCGACGGCGTGCGGAGCCTGCCCCTGCTGCTCAGCCACGCAGGCATCCGGACAGGTAGGAGCTGGGACATGCAGGAGTTGGGACAGGTAGACAGATAGGACAGGCAGGAGATGGGACAGGTAGGGAGCTGGGACAGGCAGGAGCTGGGACAGGTAAAGAGCTGGGACAGGTAAAGAGCTGGGACAGGCAGGGAGCACCAAACCAAACCCCAATGACAGAGCTCCCTGGACCTGTGGCTGTCCCTGCATAGAGGAGACAGCAGCAGCCCCATCCCCCCTGCACTGCTCCTCCACAGCACCTGTCTGCATTCTCACAGGGATAATTGGGAAGAAGCACGTGGGGCCGGGGGCTGTGTACCCCTTTGACTTTGCCTACACAGAGGAGAACAGTTCGGTCCTGCAGGTTGGGAGAAACATCACCCGGATCAAGATGCTCGTCCGGCGCTTCCTGCAGAGCCAGGATGAGAGGTGAGACTGTCCCCTTGTCCTGGCAATGGCTGCACTGAAGATGCGTCCCCGTGGCCCAGCTGGTCACAAACAGGAAGGGGCCCCTTGTCCCTGAGTCCCCCCATATCCAGATGAGGTGGGGGGAGCCCTGACCTCAGCTCGCCGTGGCACAGCTCAGGAAAGTCTCTGGGCAGTCCTTTGCTTCACCACCTCCACACCCCCCTTTTCCATCCCTAGGCCTTTCTTCCTCTATGTTGCCTTCCACGACCCTCACCGCTGTGGGCACTCCCAGCCCCAATATGGGGCCTTTTGTGAGAAGTTTGGCAATGGAGAGAGCGGGATGGGCTGGATCCCTGACTGGAAGCCACAGATTTACAGCCCAGAGCAAGTGCAGGTGAGAACCTGTGGGAACGTGTGGGGCTCTCTGAGGCTGCACATGGTGGCAGCCTCTGATGGAACCAGGGCTGGCCCCCACCTTGTCACTGCCCCCAGTATCACAGCAAGAGCTGGTGAAGGCACAGGGGCCTGTGTCAGCCACGTGTCCCTTTCCCTGTCTCCATTTAGGTCCCTGCCTTTGTCCCGGACACGCCGGCTGCCCGGGAGGACCTGGCTGCCCAGTACACGACCATCGGCCGCATGGACCAAGGTGGGAGCCGTGGCCAGGCTGGGGCTGAGCTCTGCAGCTCCTCTCTCCCTCCCCGCTGAGCTCTGCCCCTGCTCTCACAGGGATCGGGCTGGTCCTGGAGGAGCTGCGCCGCGCCGGCTTCCTCAACAGCACCCTGGTGATCTACACGTCCGACAACGGCATCCCCTTCCCCGGGGGCAGGACCAACCTCTACCGCTCGGGCACCGCCCAGCCGCTGCTCCTCTCCTCCCCCGAGCACCCCCAGCGCTGGGGGCACGTCAGCCTGGCCTTCGCCAGCCTCCTGGGTAAGTGCTGAGGGAGGGAGGGAGGCAGCACAGCTGTGCCTGGAGCGGGGTGGGCTGCTCCCCACCCTCCCTGCACCAAAACTCAGGGTCCTGTCCCTGGGGGCAGCCCCGAGCCCTCAGCACTGGCAGGGCCAGTGCAGGGAAGGGAGAGGAGAGAGGACAGAACGGAGTCCCCTGCAGGGACACCATCCCTGGGGACCTTTCTGCCCCTCTCTGGGGCTGAGTTTCCTCCCACAGTGCCTGTCCCCGTCTCACCCTTTTCCTCCCCTCCAGACCTGACGCCGACCATTCTGGACTGGTTCTCCATCCCCTACCCTGCTTACAGCATCTTTGGCACCAGGCAGGTGCAGCTCACTGGAAAGTCTCTCCTGCCAGCCCTGGAGTCAGAGCAGCCCTGGGCCACCGCCTTCAGCAGCCAGAGTCACCACGAGGTGACCATGTACTACCCCATGCGAGCCATCCAGCACCGCCAGTTCCGCCTCATCCACAACCTCAACTACAAGATGCCCTTCCCCATCGACCAGGACTTCTACGTCTCGCCCACCTTCCAGGACCTGCTGAGGCGCACCAGGGCGGGGCAGCCGACGCACTGGAACAGGAGCCTGCAGCAGTACTACTACCGAGCCCGCTGGGAGCTCTTCGACTGCAGCCGCGACCCCGCCGAGAGCCAGAACCTGGCCCCCGACCCGCGCTATGCCAGCGTCCTGCAGCTGCTGCGTGCCCAGCTCCTCAGGTGGCAGTGGGACACGGGGGACCCCTGGGTGTGCGCCCCCGACGCTGTCCTGGAGGAGAAACTGAGCCCCCAGTGCCAGCCACTGCACAATGAGCTGTGAGTGTCACCTGTGAGTGCCACCTGTGCCCTGACAGTGCTGTGCTGCTGTGGGGCTCAGACCCCACCTGTGCCCCAGCTGTGCTGTGCTGCTGTGGGGCTCAGACCCCACCTGTGCCCCAGCTGTGCTGTGCTCCTGTGGGGCATGAGGGCTGGTCCCAAATCCCGGGGACACCATGAGGCTCTGCCCCCTGTGCCAACACCGCCTGACCCCAGAGCACTGAGGGATTCCTAGTGCCTTGGCTCTCAGCCAGAGGAGCTGAAGGGCCAAGCTGGCCCTCAATAAAGCCTCTGGAGGGTAAGGCTCTCATTTTCACCTGGAGCTGGGCACAGCCCTGCAGCAGCCCCCAGCTTGGAGGCAGCAGGACAGGCCAAGGGCCTCTGTGGCACAGCCAGGGCTGCAGGAACAGCTGGGGACCCCTAGCGCTCTGGGAAATGGGGAAAGCCTTCAAGGGGCACAGGGGGTCCCGCTGGAGACCTCCAGGCAGGGACAGAGCTGGGGTGTCCCAGCCAGGGGCAGGGGACTGAGCACATTCAGAACCAGGAGAGGGGACAAGGACACGGCCTGGGGCTGCTCCCAGCAAACAGCAGCTTTATTCACAGTACTGCTCCCTCAGTCCCTGCACATCCCACCCCGTTGATGGTGTCCAGGGGCGCTGGCAGGAGGATCCACTGCCCTTTGCTGTGGATGGTGGAATCCTACACGGGGACAGAGAGAAGGAAGAGCAGGCACAGGGTGCCACACGGCAGGGGGGCCCAGCCCAGCACCAGAGCCCTCAAATGGCCACCAGCAAAGGCAGGTGAGGCACGAGACCCACGCACAGCCCCAGGGGGCTGCCGGGATGCAGGAATGGGCACGAGGTGCCACAGCAAAGCCCCCTGTGCAACACAGCAGGAGCACCCACCCCTGCCAGGCTGTACCACGTCCCTGCTGGGAAGTAGCCGCTGACTTTGGTCTGTCCTGGCTCCAGCACGGGGGTGACGAGCAGCCCCTCGCCCCACAGGAGCTGGCGGTCCATGGCCCAGGTGTTGGGGTCTGTGGGGAACCTGGGGAAGGAGGGGAGGGAGGGCAGCACCAGGAGACCCTGCAGCTGCCTCCCGCTGAGCCCCAGCGGGGCTGGCACTCACTCGAGGAACAGGGGCCGTGCCACGGTCTGGCCGGCGCTGTGAGCCCGGTGGAACAGCGTGTACAGGAAGGGCAGCAGGGAGTAGCGGAGGCGCAGGGCGTTCCTCATGGCAGCCTGGGCGGGCGGGCTGAAGGCAAAGGGCTCCTGCGGCTGCGGGGAAGGAGGGGAATGGCCCGAGGGGATGCTCAGCCCGCGTAGGGAGGAACCGAGGGTGCATTTTGGGGATGCAGGATGGACTCTCCAGCACTGGGGCACACAGCCCTGCAGCTGAACCAGCCACCTTCCCACGCTGGCAGGGCAGCCCTGGCTGGGCCCAGAGCCCCCTGCCCGGCGGGTGAGGGCTCCCAGCGCTCACCCGGGTGCCGTGGTCGTTGTGGTTCCTCATGAAGGGGTAGAAGGCGCCCAGTTGGGTCCAGCGCACGCACAGCTCCTCGCTGGTGTTGCCCAGGAAGCCGCAGATGTCGGCACCCACCAGCGGCACCCCGAAGAGGTTGAAGAGCAGCACCTCTGCAGAGGGCACAGAGGGCATCAGGGCTCTGCAGCACCCGGGGATGGAGCCTGTGGAGAAGCCCCTGGCTGTGGGGGCAAGGGGGAAGCAGGGCTGTGGGTGCAGGCCCAGTGCCCCACAGATACCTGGTATGGAGTAGTAGAGCTGCTCCCAGTCGCTGCCAACATCCCCTGTCCAGTGCCCGGCGTAGCGCCCGTGCCCAGCGAAGGTGGAGCGTGAGATGATGAAGGGACGCTTGCCCCGGACCCTCAGCAGAGCACTGGGAGTGGGAGGGGTCTGCTCAGCACCCACCAGCTGGGGAAGGAGCTCCGGGCTCCCACAGTGCCCTGTGTTCCACACCAAACCCTCACCCACCACCCAATGCCTGCCCATGCTGGGTCTCTCCCAGCTCTACACTCCCAGCATGTGCAGGAGCTGTGGCAGGAGCCCCAGGCCTGCCCACACTGCCCATGCTGTGGCAGGAGCCCCAGGCTCACTTGTGGGAGGCGATGGCCTCGGTCAGCCCGTACAGGCTGTGCAGGTTGTAGTGAGAGGACAGGTACTGCTGGCTGGAGGCACAGATGGTCCCGGCCTGCAGGCGTCCTCCAAACACACCTGCAGGGGAGAGGTGGAGCTCAGAGCATCCCCCGGGCTCCTCCCGGCGTCCCCAGAGCCCTGGGCAGGGCTGGAACCCACTCCTGTACCTGGCACGTAGGGGGGATGCTCCAGGTTGTTGTTGGGGCAGCCATCCTGGGAGCCCTCCACGAAGTTGGACGGCTCATTCATGTCCTGGGAGGGAAGGAAAGGATGGGATGGCCTCGCTGCTGCAGTGGGGCTCAGCAGAGTGCAGGGCAGGAGCCAGGGCCAGCAGCTGCAACAGGGCCACTCACAAGCCACATGCCATCGAAGGGCACTTGTTCGTGGAAGTCCTTCACCATGTCGTGCCACCACTTGTGAGTCTCTGGGTTGGTGAAGTCTGGGAAGGCTGTGGGGCCTGGCCAGACCTGCAAGGGGGAGAGCATTGGGCAGAGCCCCCACCTTCCACCACAGCCCCCCAAAGGTTTCTCTCCCACGCTTGGGGTCCTGCTGCCACAGCCCCACTCGAGCCCTGCCCCGTGGGCACCAGGGCTGCTCCCCACACGCACCTTCCCGATCAGGGGCTGCCCCGTGGCATTTCGGATGAACACCCCTCGCTTCAGGCCCTCGTCGTAGGGCTTGTACATGCCAGGGGGCCCCGAGCTGCTGATCCCAGCATCCTGGAAGGGCAAAAAGCCATAGCTTTAGCAGCAACAGCAGGGAACGGCCAGCCCTGCCCTCATCACCACCCTGGGGCAGCTGAACCCGTGCCAGCCTGCCCCTGCAACTCACCACGATCATGATGTACCTCAGCCCGCGGTCATGGAACTCCCGCACCATCTCTGGGTAGTCCTTGAAGCCTTTCTTGTTGAAGGTGAAATCCCTCTTGGCATCTGCATAATCCAGGTCGTTCCACTGCACATCCTGTAGATGGAGGCACCGCGGCTTGGGCAGGAGCAGGGACCCCATGAGCTGCTGTGGGACCCCCACCCCAGGGCTCCCACCAGCCCCCCACAGCCCCAGGAGCCCCCCAGACCTACCAGGGGGAAGCGGGCTGCTGTCATGTTGGCCACCACCTGCCGGGTGATGTCGGTGGAGGAGTAGCCCCAGCGGCACAGGTGGAAGCCCAGGCCCCAGTACGGGGGCATGAAGGGGTACCCTGGAGGGCAGAGGGTGGGTGCTGGCAGGGATGGCTCAGCCCTGTGCCACCCCAGAGCCCTGCTGTGCCCCACGGCTCATGGCATCCCAGCAGAGCCATCCTGGCCATGGCTCAGCCGTACCAACCACATCCAGGTACTGCCGCACCACGCTCTTGGGGTCGGGGCCCAGGAAGATGTAGAAGTCCAGGATCCCCCCGGTCGTGCGCCAGGTCAGGGCCGGGCTGGGCTGCAGGAGCACATCTGGGGAAGCACAAGTGCCAGGGGAGGAAGATTAGGATGAGGACAGGGCCAGGCCCACACCCGGCGCCCCACGGGACTCACCCATCGCGTTGCTGTTCAGCAGAAAGACACCGTGGGCTGAACCATCATCCTCCATCACCAGGTAGAAAGGGTGGGAGCCGTAGAGGTTGATGTGGGGCTGGAGTAGAGCACAGTGTGGTGCCAGTGAGGCTCTGCTGGAGACCCCCACACCCACCTGACCACCCCCACCTCCGGTCAGGAGCACTGGCTTCAGGTGCAAAGCCAGGGCTGTGCTCCCAAACTCTGTCACCTCAGAGTTTGCAGGGCCCTGAGCCAGAGCCCTGCAAACATTCCTAGGCAGCACAGAGCTCCAGCAGGACACACCTGGGCCTGGAGACAGGGGTCCCAGGGGTTGTCCAGTGTTATGGCCGAGGCCCAGAGCTAAACCAGCACACACACACCTCCCCAGCCCCAGGAGAAGCCACAGGGCCACCCCCGGGAGCACAGACTCATCATCTCCCTTTCCCTCAGCCCCGCTCCGTACCGCAGGTGCCATGTCCCGATTCCAGAGCGTGACCCTGGTCCATGCTGTGTCAAGGAACAGCGGTGTCAGGTGCTCCCCCAGCCCCGAGATGAAATGGGAGGGCAGGGAGGTGGAGATCTGCAGGAACTGGTCTGTGAAGAAGAGGGGTGCGACCGTGGTGTTCAGCCTGCAGAGAGGAAGGGAGACTCAGCCAAGGGCTGGGAGGGAGGCACTGAACTGGGGCCACGGGTGCTGGGCTGGGACACGGGTGCTCATCACCAGGGGAAATAAAAACAAGTTTTGGGTGAGCTCTGGGACTCCTGGTTCCCTGCCCAGCCACGGAGCTGCAGAGGGAGTCAAAGTAAAGCCCCCACAGCCATCCCACTGCTGTCACCAGTGTCCCAGACAGATGAACAGCAGTGTCCCTGCTGCCATCCCGGCACTGTGGGGCTGTGCACGTTTCCACCCCGAGTCCCTCAGAGGCGAGCGGGCACAGGGGCACTCACAGGACTCTCCCGCCGCGCTGCCGGCACACGACGAGGCCGAAGGGGTCCAGGCTGAGCTGCAGCCCGTAGAGCGTGGAGGGGGCTCGGCCGCGCACCCGCGGCGTGGCCAGCGGCACCTCATAGCGCGGCCGGGCCGCGTCCCGGAGCTGCGGGGAGAGCGGTCAGCGGGGCACGGGCACCGGGCACCGCCGGGCGGGCCGGGCCGGGCCGCACCGTGAAGCGCAGGCGGGCCGGGGTCTCCAGCGCCAGCTCCAGCCGCAGCTCGTCCACCGCTCCGGGCAGGAAGGCGGCGGCCACGCGGTGCAGCCGGGCGGAGAAGCCGCTCTCGGTGGCCGTCAGGTTCTCGGCGCGGTAGCTGCGGTAGCCGCGGGGGAAGAAGCACCAGGGCGGGCCGGGCCCGGCGCGGGGCCCGGGCCCGGGGCTGTAGCAGCAGCCCCGCGCCTCGCAGCCCGCCCGCGACAGGAGCCGCTCGGGGCCGCAGTCGAAGCGGCCGCCCGGGGACACCTCGCGGCCGGGACCAGCAGCGCCAGCAGCGCGGCCGCCAGCCCCGGGCCCGGCCCCATGGCCCGGCACCGGCACCGGCCGAGCCCGCTGCTGCCCGGCTTGGGCAAGAGCCGGGGCAGAACGGGGCTGGGCCGCCCCCGCCCCGGGAAATGGGAGCTCCACCGGGGCGGGGCGGGGAGGCGGAGCTGCTTGGGGCAGGGAAAGTGAAACGTAAACAGAAACATACCGAAAGGATTACAGTGGTACGTCTGAAATAAACATTGTACTCGACAAAGTAAATATTATACCCCGCACCTGCTTTATTTCTTTATTTATTTATCTAGTTATTTATTTACAGTCTGGAGCCCGTGGAAGAATATAAAAGATACCACGTGTATCTTCTATGTTTCTGTCAGGCTTTCGCCGACCCCAGCTTGGATCTCAAGCAGTGACTGAGCCACTGCAGAGCCCTTTGGTGCTCGGGCTGTTCCTCCTGGATCTGCTGCACGATGGTGTTAATGGTCTGCAGCCGACCCTCCAGCTTCTCCTGCTGGTTCATGCAGGCCTCTTCAGTGTGGCACAGGGCCTTGTACTTCCCTTGCCTCAGTGCCTGCAGCTGCTTCTGGCGTGCCTGGTGAGCCACAAGCTCCAACAGGTTCTGAGAAAAGCAAAAAGTGAAGGGGCTGTGACAGCAGGAAAAGCATGGGCAGGACTCGTGTCAGGTGCTGTGACCATCACGATGGACAAGGGAAGGACAGTGTTGTGAGTTCCCAACCATAGCAGCCAAACAGCACCCCCAGCCTGGGTGTTGGAGAGGTACAGACGTCACAGAATTCCATAAATCAGAGAAATTCCCACATACGTAAGGCAACCCTCACCAGGACAGGGTTTCAATACGTCAAGCTGGCTCTTGGTGAGCCCCCAAAACGTGCTCAGTTAATGTGCTGTTCTAATGCATTATAGCACACCAAGCTGAGGACAGAGCTGGCAGCAGAGGAAGCAGTAGGCTCTGTCTGGCTCACATGCTGTAAGGGAGAGGATGTGCTCACCCATCGTTTCTCGTTCTGGAGATATTCCCTGTCCAAGCTGAGGCTGTCGGTCTCAGCCTGGAGCTGGCACACTTCCTGCTGCTTTTCGGAAAAGTTGTCATTGAGGGACTCTTGGATGGTCTCCAGCTCCTGCATCGTTTGGTTGCATTCATAAATGTTCTAGTAAATGGAAGAGAAGGGAATGGCAGATTTCAGTTCTCTAGTTCAGCTGCACTCCTGACCATCCTCCCAGAACTGGGTTTTGGGGGATTTTCAATGGATGATTTTCCAAGCCTGCCCCTGTGCTGGCACAGGGTCACTGCTGTGCTCACTGCTGCCCACCACAAGGCCAACCCCAGCTGTGTGAACTCCTGCAGCCCCACTTTCCTTGCTCACCTCCTGGATTTCCCTGATCTTCTTCTTCAGCTCCTGTTTCCTGCTTTGGAAGTCGCTCTTGGTGCTGTGTTTTAATTTGCTCTGAGCCTCTGCCTGATCTGTTATTGTCTCTCTTTGGGAAACACACGCCTCCATCGCCCGAATCAGCAGCTCCTGCTGTTTCTGCAGCTGCCCATAGCGTACCTGCCATTTGCCAAGACACAAACCAGCCTCAAAATCCCAAATGTTTGCCAACAGCACCAAGGGAAGCGGTCCGGGTGGCACATCCCACCAGCATAAACCAGACCTATGGGACATGAGTGCCTGTAAGCCAGATTTGGTCCAGGTCCAATCCTGCTTTTCTGTGTGTGGATCTGGAAGGCAGAGGCCTGGATTACCAACCTGTCTACTCCAATACTCAAAGTGTTAGTCTGAACCTCATTAGCAAGAGCAGAAGCAGAAAAGCAGAAGCATCCTGAGAATGAAAGGGATGAGCTTCTTTGCCAGGAGAGGGAACACTTTCCTAAACCAGTGATTAAAGTGATGCAATACTTACTGATCAACACTGCACATAAATCAGGGTCACAGAATCAGGTGGCAGACATACTGCAATTTAAATAGATCTCTTGGGAGTATCCAGATCCTGCTGAGGCTGGCATGGGGAATGCAGGATGTGTGGGCTACATGTGCTCAGTTCAGTCGAGCTGCAGGGGTTTAGAGTCCCACCCCGGGCCCTGAAGATGCCACTTCTCCAGCCTGTTTCTCATCTCCTGCCTCATGTGTCAGCCACTCCAAGGCTGAGTACACTGGGTGGCTTCCCCTCCTCAGTCCTCCTTCCCAGTGCCTTACTTGCATCCTCCGAATCTCTGTTTTCATGTCATGGATCTCGCCGTGTTCTAACAGAGCATCTGTTGCTTCCCTCATCTCTTTTGCCAGCTGGAACTTCTTCTCCCACAGCAGGATCTGATGCCTTCAGAGGAGAAAGGGGAAGGAAGGAGAAAGTTAGACCCTCAATGACCTGCCCAGTGCAGCACACTCACTGCCAGTTACTGGCAGAGTCTTCCCATATGGATCTTGGCAATGTCCAGCTTGCACATGCTGGAACTGTTAAAGCCAACATCCTCCCAGCTCCTGCTGGTTCCAGAGACTGCTGAAACACCTTTCAAACATTCATCCCCATCTCCAGGAAGGCTAGAAGCACATTTGCTGGTGCCAGGTTTGGTGACTGCAGGAGAATGGGAATGTGGACACAGTCACACAGGACTGTGGCACTCTGGTACCTACTCTGCTTCTACCAGGCTGTTCAGGAGCCTTTCCTTCTCCTCAGTCAGTTTACTGTGCTTCTCCTGCATCTCCATGGATTCTTTTTCTGCTGCCTAGATTTCGGGAGAACAAAACAATACAGAGTTGTCAGGCTGAGAAGGTTTTTCAGGATCACTGTTTGCCTCTGATCTGCACGGGAGGCTGAGACCTGGGAATGAGGTGCCAGGTGCCTCAGTACCTTGAGAGACTGCACAAACTCGCTCTCTGTGACAATTCTACCATTTTTCAGGTCCTCGACGCTGCTGTTGTTCTTGTTGATCAACGTGTTCAACTTGATCAAGTCATTTGACATGTTCTTTATGTGCCGTTCCACGTCCTTCTGCTCTTTTATTTCCTGCTGAATTTCATCTATGGGTGAACAGAAAAAGTCTTAGAATTCCCCTGAGCACTGGGTTGAACAGAGACAAGGTGTGACAAATGGCTATCAGAACTGGCAACACCTCAGGCAGAGCCACCCATGTCCCACCAGTCCAGCCAAAATGAATTTCCACAAGATCAAAACAAAAAAAAAAGTTTTTGAAGGAGACTCCTGTGGGAAAAAGTTGGGTTTGGCCAAGGAAAGTGCACTCATTGCTGGGGACATTTACCTACCCACTACCTGCAAACTTTGTTTAGCAAGTGTTACAGGTGACATTGTCACTTAGGGTCTGACTGTCAGGACAGTAGGATCAATCCTTACAGGAATAACCAGGTGCAACCAGCAGGAGTTCCTGGGCTGTTGGTATTCCTGCTCACACACAGCCAGGAGCACTCTCTGGGGCAGGTCCAGCTTTTCCCGTGTGTAACCCTCCCCTCCCTGTTCCTCCCTTCCCAGATGGACATTTGAAGGAAGAGCAGAATTTTAGGAATGACGCACTCTCAAGGCGCAGTTTCCTCTGCTGCATGATGATGATCTGCTTCTGCAGACTGTCCAGGGAGGAGACTTGTTCCTCCCTCTCCCGTGTCAGCCTCACCAGCTCCTTCTGCTCACTGAGCCAGTACTTCTGCAACGTCATTGCCTCAGAGCTGCAATCTTCTATCTGCTTGTTCAGCTTGTTGATCTCAATTTCCAGAGGTCCCAGTTCTTGCCCCTGTACGAGAGCAAAGTTTGGGCTAAACCAGGCAGAAGCTGCCTGAGCTGTTTGCAGCATCTGGACGTGCCAAAGCTTGCAGAGGATGTGCCACAGGACTCATTTCCCCACGGGTATGCATAAGGTCTTACCCTGCCAGGGACAGATCAGGGAGTCACCCCAATAGGGCCAACCCTGAAATGACTGAAATCTCACTGCCTGCCCAATTCTCCCCTCCTCAGTGCTTGCAGATTTTCCTATCAAGATCCTATTTACTCATTGATGCCATCTGACATTTTCATCAGGTGCAGGCAAAGTCCCTGAGGGATCTGTGCCAGGCACACCCTCATTTCACAATTCTCTTCACTGCATTTTGAACTGATAAACAGAAACAACTGCATTAACCAATGTAGCTTTTAAATCACAGTGCTGATGCCTGAATGTTTGAACTACCCAACACTTAACACAGTTACATTGATCAGGGACATCTGTGGCCACCACAAAGAATAAAATCAAAATTGGGACTGAAACACAAAAGTACCTACCCCCTGCTGAGAAAGAAGCATCTCCAGCTTCTTGTTGTACAGGCAGATGATCCCTCCCTTCTTCTCAGCCAGGATCCTGGACTTTGCAATCTCATTTTCCTGGCAGGTGATCTGTTCATTCACATTTTTTATTTCCTTGTCCACCTCAGAGAGTGTTTTTTGATGAACTGTCAGCCTGCAGGTGGTATTGGTTGCATTCAGAATAATCTGGGCCACATCGTTCTCAACCTTGTAAAAATGCAGCTCCTGGGAATATCAAGAGAGAAAACACATCACTGTCCCCAGCAGCCCCTTGTTGAGTTGTAATGCCACTTGTCCAGCACAGGAGTCAGGAGATTGAGATTCTACTCCCAGGTCTGTACCACAAGCCACAAGCTACTTACTCTCTGTGTATCTTTGCTTCTCCATCAATTGCCAGCTAATACAACATCTACCCCTCCCATACAGCTGTTGAAAAGCATTAAGGAGCCTAAACATTCCAAAAACCTTTAAGACACCTCACTCATCCCTTCTGCAATGACCCCTTGCCCAGCTGTCTCCCGTTACCTGCCACCAGAACCAGGACATCACAGCACTGTCCCTTCTCCAGCACACCTGGCACACACCTAACAACCAGCACAGCACTCACAGGTGTGAGAAAGGTTGGGCTGAGCTTTCCAATCCTTCTAAGTGATCCAGTTATACACTCCCAGAGAGAGCAACTTCTCATGGATTAAAGATTGGACTGGTGGACTGTTCCTCAGAACTGAGAGCTGCCTGTATCCCATTCCATGAC